GGCAGCAGAGCGGGCAGCAGAGCGGGCAGCAGAGCGGGCAGCAGAGCGGGCAACAGAACGGGCAACAGAACGGGCAGCAGAGTGCACAGCAGAACGGACAACAGAGTGCAGAGCAGAAGGGGCAACAGGGCGGGCAACAGAACGGGCAGAATGAACAACAGATTGGACAGGAAAGCGGGCAGAGTGGACAGCAGAATGGACAGCAGAGCGGGCAGCAAGGCAGCAGCGTCCCGTTCTCTGTAAACAATGGCACAGCTCCCGCGAGCCCGTCAGGAACAGCACCTGCGAGTCAAGGTACCGGGAGTGGTAGCCCCGCTATATCCTTTCCAAAAGAGTTCAAGGGTACAGCGAGCAGGGTTGGTGGCCGCTTGTTTGGCGTGATCGCCGCCGTTGTTATGATATCACTGTTTTAGAGGAGGTGGATACTGCTCCTAGCATCGACATGTATTTATTCTGCTTCGAAACATCATGGCTGCAAAGGTTACGAGGTTACAATCATTTGTATACTTTGATTCTTTTATACCTATCCATCTTCCACATCTCAGCATTTTTAACGCCGAATGCCCGAAATAGACCCTGTGCTGCCCAGTTTTGTAGCGGCCGAGGCAGGCCCCAGAAAGGGGGCCATTGCGAAGGACGGCCCGGATAGCGCACCTGGGTGTTTCTTCCGGGTCTGGGGTCTCACTTACCAATGGAACAAAGATAAATGCTACAAAAAGGTCGATCAATGCCTTACGTCGGCATGGAGAGAACTGATCGGTACGGAACTGACCCTGTGGGTCCTGTATGTTGTAGAGGGTCGATGTTGGAGCCCGTGACGATTTGTTGCGAGGCGCGGAAAGGTGCCGGGGATATGCCACGAGCGGAATGGCGGCAACTGAGCGCACCTGCCTCTAACAAGCAAGTCGATCGGACCCGAGTCTCGTGAGCTCCTCTTACCTTCCGAGTGCAGGTCAAGTCAACGTGAAGACGGTCATGATCAAATTCAAAGATTTCTGCACTCCAACATCATCCTTGCCTTCCCCACATGATCGTCCCGCTTCTTACTCGGCGAAGAAGCATGGACGTTTATGTTGTAGAGTACCATTATGGAGAGGTGGTCAGCAGGCAGACGACCGAGCCACTGACCTGCTAAGAGGAAATTCTTTGGCTATTGGACTGCCCGCCATAGTCACGCGGAGACTGCAATGCGCAGCAGTATGAGCTGCAGATGATCCCCCACTTGTCATTTCCTACCACGCAAGAATTCGCGCGCCAATATACTATTGTGTGGGGAAGTATGGGGAAGAAAGCAATCCTCATACCCGCAGCGTAGCAGCTCTCCTTCTCCGCACTTCCAACAGGTAACGTCGGAGCTCCTCCTCAAATCTGATCTCGAGACGTGAGTATTGTTTAAAGCAGGAGTTTCTTTAATGAACCATTATCCACGGTCAGCCTGACTGGCATTATTATTAAAGAATTCCTTGGGCCCATTCATTCGCGCTATCGTTCCTCCTCTTTCGTCGTACCCCAGATTCTATCTTTCCCTTCCAACTTCCCCTTGCAGCATAACAAGAACGCTTTCCACGATGCGTCTTTCCTCTCTCTCGCAGCTCTCCACAGCAGCGAGTATTGTCTATGGACACAGGCTGCCTTTCCCTAGCAACCCGGAATACCAGTCTCTAGCATTAAGAGATCAAACTCTTAGGGCCGGCCAAAACGGCGGCACTAATTCTATGATCGAGCAGCAGAGAGCGGCTGCCGTCAAGGATGCTTTCACGTTCGCCTGGAACGGCTACTTCACGACTTGCAAAGGCCAAGATGAGCTTGAGCCAGTGACGAATACATGTACCAACCCAAGGAACAATTGGGGGGCTAGCGCGGTCGACGCCTTGAGCACGGCTTTGGTGATGGAAAGCCAATCTATTGTCAATGATATTCTTGACTACATTGCCACTATCGACTATACAACTACTGCTACGGAAGTCAGCCTGTTCGAGACGACCATTAGGTATATGGCCGGTATGCTGTCAGGATATGACCTTCTCAAGGGGCCATTATCCAGTTTGGGTATGAATGCTTCTGCAGTCGACACTCTTCTTACCCAGTCGAAAAGCCTAGCGGATAGTCTGAGTTTCGCATTCAATACGTCCACAGGTATACCCTCGAACAGCTTGTATTTTACCAATCAAACCGATGACGGAAGCACAACAAATGGACTTGCTGACATTGGGACCCTGTGCCTCGAATGGCAACATCTGTCAGACCTCACAGGTGATCCTTCGTACGGAGATCTGGCGCAGAAAGCCGAGACTTACCTTCTGAACCCGCTGCCAGGATTCAATGAGCCCTTCGCCGGGCTCGTGGGTACCAACGTCAATATCTCCAACGGCGTCTTTCTGGACGCTACTGGAGGATGGAACGGCGGCGATGACAGCTTTTACGAGTATCTTATCAAGATGTACGTCTATGATTCGTCGCGCTATAGCAACTATTCGGACCGTTGGGTCATGGCTGCCGACAGTACTATCAAATACCTAACCTCGAATCGTAAGCCAAATTCCTGAATTACCAATTCCGCTTTCATACATTCTTCGAGTCTGAAGACACGTTCGCCTTCAGACTTCAAGTTCCGTCTTAGGAGAGAAGTGTTGACTCTAAAATGGTGTAGCGGCTTCTCGGCCAGATTTGACGTTCTTGGCAAGCTATGTCAATACCACTTTCGTCAACTCGTCCGAGCACTTGACCTGCTGTACGTATTTTCGGAAACCATATATCCCCTTTTGGAGCAAAGTCTTGAGTCTTGAATAATGTCTCGGGAGTCTTTATTCTCGAAACGTGTTTCAAGGCTCAATATACCTCCTCAAATAGGCAATACTGACGGCGAAATTTGTAATCTAGTCGATGGCGGAAATTTCCTTCTCGGAGGCTCAGTCCTTGGCCGACAGGACTATATCGAATTTGGGCTTGCGCTTGTCAATGGTTGCCACGACCTGTACAACTCCACCCTCACAGGAATAGGGCCAGAGTCTTTTAGCTGGAACACCACTGGGGTGGACTCTACCAACGAAGCCTTTTACAATGCGAATGGCTTCTACATCACTGACCAGCTGTATGATCTGCGTCCAGAAGTCATCGAAAGTTTCTACTACGCTTACAGAATTACTGGTAAGGCATCCATCGCTATTGTTGGGGTGAGAGCGGCAGGCTGACCGAAGTGAAGGCAACACGATGTACCAAGACTGGGCATGGGAAGCCTTCGTGGCTATAAATGCGACGACCAGAGTCGGCCAAGGATTTTCGGAGATCTCGAATGTCAATGCTGCGAATGGAGGATCGTTTGACAATGTGCAAGAGAGCTTCTTATTTGCGGAAGTCATGAAGTACTCCTATTTGATACATGCGCCGGTGAGTATCCCGAGCGGATGCAAGAACACACTCGCTGATAGGACAGTAGGACAGCGTGTTCCAGGTAGCGGGCAACGGTAGCACGAATCAATTTGTCTTCAATACCGAGGCGCATCCGTTGAAGGTTGTGGGACCTCCAGTATGAGCGGAGAATCTTGTTCATGCACTAGCTCTGTATCAGACATTTCGCGAATTGATGGGTTCTAGCCCATCTGTTATACATAGGATCCGATCAAGATAGCAAGGATCCATTTGTTTTTGTTTCAGCAGGAGAAGGCACGGAAAGCCTCGGTCGAACAAATGAGACGCGATTCACGAAGCATTGTATGTCTGGATCTGTTGAAAGGGTCAATTTGATTCGATTGAAACTGATGTGAAAAGTGTGGTGCGATCATTTCTGTCACCGAATCATCTATATGCTGGCGGAAGGCTAGTAAAGTGCGCCATAACATCCTTATTCACTTCACTTCAGGCCACCTTAAAGGTTCTCCGCTTGTGTTTCGCTTTGCGAAATCTCACATGGTCAACACTGCTCCTAGGAGTCCCACATTCAGTCACAAATAAAGTCACGACAACCTTCGACGCTGAATTACCGAACATTAGACTCATAAGGTACTTTAGGGTGAGTTTCTCCAAGCAGCTCGGAAAACAATACTGGCGCCTGGGGCGCACGGGGCGTAAATTGTCTTGGCACGCAGGGCTGAAGCCCCTGGATATAACGCCCGGCCGGTCGATGGCATACTACTACCAATCGCAGTCTTGGCCGTGGAATACCCACGACGTAACCTTTACCAGACCGATGCTTCTTCATGCTCGGGGACCGCTGGGGACCGATGGGCCGGAATTCGACGCTGACAGCATCCAAAACCTCAAATAGGCTTAGATCCATGATCTACGGTGGGAAATTACGTCAAGATCGATGGGGACCACTGGGGACCGCTGGTGACCAAAGGGCCGGAAGTCGACGCTCACAGCGCTCATAAACCTCGATTAGGCTTAGTTTCATCATCTACGCCTGGAAAATACGCCAAGACCATTGTTTACACAGGTGACCGATGGTTTACGCTGGGGATCGATGGGGCCGAGATTCAACGCTGACGGCGTTCTGAACCTCTTCGACTGCCAAAAGATCCAAGACCAATGGCAGACCGATGATAGACCAGTAGCATCGATGGTAGACCGCTGGAAGACCACTGGGAAACGGATAGCATCGATGTCAGAACGATAGGAGACCAATGGCATCGACCGAAAACCATACCATGATCGATGGCAAGACTGATGGACGCCCACAAGGTTACCAGAAGAACAATCGACTCGAGCTCGCATTGATAAATCCATGGAGCGAACGGAGCGACTATACACATCTTGATACCCTGACGCCAGCTCCAACCTCTTAACCTTCAAACGCGACACTGATGCAGATCTCTGGTTGAAACGCCAACTAATGGACGCTCTCACGAATTCTACAAAAACAATTTGTTCTCTACACGAACGTGGCAGGTGGTGGGGTGGATAACGATCAACCTTTCCCGCCTGTATCAGAGCATTGTGGTTGGTCAGCGAGTGAGAAACCATCTCCAGCTTCCCAATTCTACAAAACCCAGCAAGGCCCATCAATCCTCCCATTCCATAGCGCATCGAAAGCTATCTTTCTCCTTTTCGGTACTAGCTTCCCTCCCTACGGCATCCACCGCTACCTGGTCTGCTGGCTCGAAGTCCCGGATCAGCACTCGTCCCGCTTCTCCGGGAGGTTTGAGAGGAAGCAGCTCGGAAGATTGATCTGCTCATATGTATTTTAGCATCTACCAGTCCCTCCACGTCTTGTCAACTCACCATTAAGTCCCTTCCGTCGTACTTTACTAATCACTCGCAAGATGTCTCCTGATCGGAAATATGGCTTACTTCCCTCCTTAGAGTCTTTGAGAGCGCGAACGAAGCGCGGTCCTGGGGTAAGGACACTAGGTGCAGGTTTGGGCCTGTCGGAGACCCCTTCTTCGATGTAATCGAAAGGCTCAGGAACAGGAGCTTCCTCGTTGTCCGAAATTTCATCAACATTATTTTCCTCGGCTGGTGCCTCCCAACGATCAGGATCGTAGACTTCGAATTCTTCATCGTTGGCCTGGAATTGAGTCTGGCCGGGTATCTTTGCTTCTCTGCTTTTCAGTTCTGATCTCGGTTTGGAATATCTCGAAGACATACTAACCTTGCGTGTTCACTTTTTCGGCTTTCAGTTTCTCCGCATCTATCATGACCTCTACCAGCTCAGAAAGGTCCACAGCACCTTCCGGTACCCCTAATAGTTTTTTGAGATCGTTGAAAGGAACATTATCGCAACAGAGTGCATGGACCAAAGCAATTTGATCTTCGTCCATCGTGCTAGATTCCGCTTTGGCGTTTTCTGAGCTGCCTTTGTGCCCTTCGATTTTTGCCTCACCTTCTTTCAATCTCAGTGCGAGGTCTTTGGTCCAGTGCTCGTTATCATTAGAGACAGGTTCCGTCTCGCGCTTTCCAGCGCTAGCATCATCGTCTTCCTCTTTTTCTTTCCCTTTGCCTTTTCTCATGTTGAGGCCGAAGTAACGTTTATGAGACGATGGAAATGGAGTGTCTGCTGAAATCGGGTGGTGAAAAACGAGATGATTTTCGGTTTGACATCAGGAAGATACTTGAAGAGAGATATCGAAACAGGAAGTTTGGTAGCGATCCATAATCTCGGGTCTTGGGTTTTCGTGAACCTCCCGACGATAAAGAAGCCCCACTTTCGGCTGAATCAGGCTGCCAGTGACTTATGGGAGCCATGATAGACATCAAGCTGGATGAGTCCGCCCAGATCTTGACCCATCACGAAACCCTGCGCTCACAAAAATCAGAAGGGCTTCTTCGGACAAGTAGAAATCAGAGCAAAAAACACAGAGCCCCATATCCAATCCAGAAACGGCGCCGGCACGACCTATCATGCTGCTCAGGAACACCAACCTCTCAAGCTTTTGGTTTTGACACACCATCTATCCTGGCACTGAAGAGGCAGAGCGTTGCTACTAACAAGCAGTAAGCACATGCCGTAGACTATATTTTCCACGGCGTTACCGGCTGCTTCGACCTCTGTTTTGCAAAGGTGTTGGTGGGGTTTTCACTTCAGCTGATAGATTAAATTTCTTATGCGAGATGCTTTGGACCCTTGGGCAGTATGTTCCTCGAAAGGAGTGTGAATAGCGTACATCGTTCGAGGACTATATGACCGTCTACATCTGGGTTGGACTGATGCTAGTGATCTGGTAGAGGAGGGTTATAGACCGCAATGATGTGGTGTGACTTATGTTGTTTGTTTTGTCCATTGAGGCCTGTAAGAGTGATTGGGAGGGTCCCAGAAGTGCAAACGTTGGGTTGTGGACATGCAAAAGACAAGATTTCCATGCCAAGAGGAAAATTGGACTGAGATTCTTGTGAGTCAAGCAGTATTCATACTTCATATGATCGTTGTCATTTGCTAGCGTGTGCCAGATATTCAGACGCATTGCCGCTCAAGTCAGATTAGTGCCTCTCAGATCATGTATCATAAAATGTCAGACCTGGGCGCTCCAGCGTCTACGAATCCATGGCTGTCTCCCAACTTGTCCCCGGACCGATAATGTCAACCACCGGCCCCGAATCATTCCTCAAGAATGATGCTGAGACGACGAGCTTCCTCTTCGACTTCCTCAATCGTGCTAAGACGATGTAGGTGCTCCGAGGTATGCGGCAATCTCTCATCTAGTCTCCTCAAGACCGATTGCACGTCACTCGGTCTCTTCAAGACCGATTGCACAACATCTAGTCTCCTCAGGGTAGATTGCACATTGACTCTCTTCTTCTTCGGACTCCCCCCCACCCCTTCGACTATCCACTTCTCACGCGGCTCGGTTGGGTTCACAATGGTGTTCTCGTTGGTATCGTACTCGCACGCCTGCCACATTTCAAGCTGCCCTTGATAGACGTCGTTGTGGAGCAGGTCGATGATCCTTTGGCTGGGTAACAGTGTTGGTTTTGGCCTCATTAACCTCGCCCGCGTTATGGTCGTCATGGCTTCTGGCAAGCACAGTTCATGCTTTTTCATGACTGTTGCGGTAGTCCTGTCAATGACATGCACCGTGGAGCTTGTTGGTGCACATGTGATACTGTACTTACGATATGCAGCCAGCGCCGCCACACCTCCGCCTACATCCCACACCAATACACCTGCCCCTTCCCATAGGGTCCTGTCAATGGCGTCGCATACTTTACCAAATATTGACAGCAAATCTCCTTCGGTATCGCTTTTTAGGGTGAAGATGATGGAATGGAGATCTGGCGCCTTCCTGAAACCTTCGCGCTGCAAGTCTGCCTGGGGCTCTTCGGAGATGCAGATGACCTCGGTGATATTTCTCCTTCGGGCGTGCTCGTTCTCAGTAATCCTGAGAGGATATCAACATCGGCCCGTTCGAATTGACAGGAAGGGATGATCTACGTTCCCAGCCAGACATGATGAACGATCTCGTCCGCCTCCTTCCACTCTGGAGGCGTAGGATTCTTAAGTATGCTTTTTGACATTTTACTCGCACCTGAGCTTCAAGCTCTTTGGCTTCAGACTTTCTTGTTGAAGATAAGCAGTTGTGATGAGTGGGGAAAGAGCAAGAAGAAACCCATGAGCAATAATATGGGTCAGGCGACCCGATGGATACGATAATGCAAACGCAACACTTCCGAAAGCGAGAAAAGAGACATCATCCGATTGAGAGCGCAGAGAAAACTCGCCAGAGAGCCGGAAATCGTCAGCTGAGGGCATTTCTTGACATGGTCTTCATCTGGGGCAAACGGAGCAAACATAGGCACCACTCGCCCAGACAAAGGACAAAGCAGATTCAGGAGTGCTAATCTTCTTCCTCCATCGCGTTTTTGATCATTTGTTCGATTTCTTTCGTACGGAGTCCTGGATCTATTCTGTACGCTGTCCATGGGTTACGACACTGTTTCGGAGTTCTATATCAATCTCTTGTCGTGTTCGGGACGCTGACACCTGTCCGTTCATCATACCCAAGAGCCATTCCTCGGTCATGTCGAATACCTGTTGGAATTGCTTTGCCCATGGCGCGGACTTCAAAGCATGGGTAGGTAGTTTCGTTTTGCCGACTGACCAAGCTACGCAAGATGTCGCTGTCATGTTTGGTGGAATAGCCAGCAAGATACCATCCCCGACGCATCGATCTCAGAGTATTGGAAGGACCAAGGATTGGATGAGGCGGTAGATTCCGGTCTGCGTCCAGGAGGAGCTTGGAACAGCGTGCTTGGGTTCGGGTATGACTTTGTTGAGGATGGAAACGAGGAAACGCCCGATGTCTTGCGTTGATGGGGCCATGTTCAAACCGGCACCTAGTGTTTCGTTTCTGGATGTCTGAAGTCGACGCATCCATAATGCGTTGGAGTGCTGCGCCACAGGTCTCCCCATGGCGAAGGTAATTCCTTTGACCTCCTTCTTAGAGGAGAATCGGTCTTGAACAGCGTTCTCAATCATCTTGTCGATGCTCATCTGTCCTGCATTGGCAAAGCGTGTGCCCGGTCAAGGTGGCATTTCCACATCAGAAAAGTTGATGTCCCATGGTAAGGCATCACGGAGACGGCGATAACGGGACGCCGTAATTATAGGTAGCAGCACATGCAGATCTCGCCTGCATCGCAACGCGCATCTGCTGCATTTCAACAAGGCTTTCCGGGTTTTGTTGCTGTAGCACTGTCATCTGCTGCTGCTACGCATTCGGCGTCGAACGAACACTGCGTCTATGGACCCGTATGTTGCATCGTGAACACGGCTCTTAGAAACCCATTGAAGGGCGATGTTTACGCTGATATAGATTGCACATCGGTTGTCGACCATCATGGGTATTACTATTGTTATCGTTGTTCTCACTGCCGTTGCTATCGACGATATCATCATCGTTGCCGTCGATAATCATAATCATATTCTTATCTTGAGAGATCTGAGATCAATCATTGACAAAAGAAGTGGTGTGGAGACGAAAAGAAAAACAAATGTGCTCCCAACGCGATCATGATCAAGTCTTCAGAAGTTGAGACGACGGTGATGTCTACCGCTTGCAAATTCAAGTCTGTGAGCTATATGTGCAAAGATGGGTGCTTGACTCGCGTGTGTACCTGTGCCGCGGAGGGGAATGAAAATGGGAAGACTTTGCTTGATGATGATCCTAACCATTTGGCTCACATTTCATGTTTCCCTGGCTAGAGAACAGGTCGCTCATCCACCCATTTCTTGGTAACATCTACTCACATATCAAGAACGAATTGAAGGGCTCGGGATCGGGACTGCCGGGTTGGGCCAAGGGATCCTCCTTCTATATGTCAGCCGACAGAAAGTTGAGCAGAACGGGTCTTCTAACTTCTCTTTCCCAAAAGTTTCTCATCTGCCTTCTTCACCAAGGCCTCGAGATCCACTCTTCAAAGCCTTCCGGCTAGTCCGCTGAGTACTCAAGGCGGTGTTGCCGACCCAGCTTGTATCTCTCAACTGCTTCAACATTGAAATTGTCCTCGATGCTTTCAGGGATGCTTGGAAGCTCCTCCCACTTCATCTCCATGACTGCGATCATGCGGTATGGAAAGGAGCAGTGGTGACAGATTGATCCGTGGAGCGTGAGTCTCGGAGACCACAGCTACTTCACATGGGACTTGAGACTTATGTATATATTGAGAACTGATTTGCAACCACCAAGCAAGGGGAGCGAGAAAAGAGATGTAATCGTTTGCAGTACGTTTGAGTACCAGTGACCATGATGAGCACATACTCCATTCAGGATTCACCTTGTTTCTCGAACGCTCCACTTGCCATTGTCAGTGAGAGAAGAAAGGTAGACTTGCAGTACCTGCGTGGTTTCCATGGGTACCAGTCAATAAGAGACAGCTCTTCCCCCGTATTTCACGCGGCTCCTAGGTGAACGACTCGCCACGAAGCCAGGATGAACGCACCGACACGGAAAACCGATGGGATGAGACTTTTGACTCACGGAGAAGAAGCAATAGAGCAGCGACCAGAGGATAATATACGTGCTCAGAAAGGGGGACTCAGAGAGTGAATGAATATTTGCCGAGGAACGACAACGCAAACCATCTCCGCGCCAGGGAGTCTTGGCACCTTCTGCAGCCCTATCTATCTCCATCTCTCCCCACCCAAAAAAAAAGCCCAGAAACACGACCCACACCAACCAGCACGTAATCAATCGACAGTGATCATTAACAAATTGTACATACAGTTCCCAAAGGCAAAAACGAAATGGGCTCGGGCCGCGATTCGAACGCGGGGCCTCTCGCAATTTTGAACTCAGAGTAATCCCTAAGCGAGAATCATACCACTAGACCACTCGAGCTCGAACATCTCAAAATTTTGCCTAAAATACTACATATCTACATGTGCTGCAGGAGTTACGGACTTGCCGTGGGATTCCACCTAGTTGGGCCTAATCATTAGGCCCTAATGTAGGCCTGGCGCGGCACATATCTGGTCTGTAGCCTACGTAGTAACTCCACCAAATCCTCGACGTTCATCGAAGATTCACTCGCGAGCGTTGAGCAATTGGAGTCGAAGTTTTCGAGGTGCTGGTGCAATGCCGGGCAGCTTTTGTGAACAGTGAGACCTCATTGAAGGAATTACGGGCAGGTTTCCGCACATGGTATACAATGATTCAAGCTGAGCATGTCAAAAACACGACGCTGACAATAAAGTCAACGTACCAGTCCAGAAATTTTAGAGGAGTGACATTGCAATTTGTGAGCTGAATCCACAGCATGTATTATGTAACATTTAGGCTCTGGACGATTTATCCAGGCGCCGTTGCTTGATCGCTAGAAGGGCACACATGAATATTGAGCAGCATCAATTCCCTTAATAAAGACAACCATGATGACAAATCCACCTTCAGTTCTGAGTCGATTCTTAGACGTTGGCGCCGGAGGTGGTAGCACCATCGGTGACACCATTGTGACCATTGTGACCGTTGGCGACCTTCTCGAGGTTCTCGGTGCCTTGAGTGTATGATGGTCCCTCATCATAGTCGCGGATGTGGACTGCGGGAATTCAGCGCAGCCCAAAGGCTGAATGAGACGGAACAAGACTTACTGCCAAGACGCCCTGGGTCAATACCACGGTGACCCCAGATCAATAGAGCACCGAAGACTGGCTTAGCCATGATGTCCAAGATACCGTAGAACACAGCCTCAGAGTCGGGTGAGATGACATTACCACCCTCGGAAAGTCCCCAGGCAATCGGGTAGAGGAACCAGAGGAAGGTGGTCCAGGTACCGACGGTGAGATAGGTTTTCGAGACATCGGAGCCAATGGCAGCTGCGTGCTTGCGACCGGTCCAGATGAGAGTCCACCCAACCCAAAAGAGAGCGAAGCATCCGAAGGTGTAGTACCCCCACTATTCTGACTGTTAGCAGCGTTTCTGTATAAGATTTCGCGGAGTATTGTACCTTGTAGCTAGAAGTGACCAAGGCGCCAACAAGACCGGTAATGATCATGATCTCATCGATCAAGACGGTGTAAAGGATCGTGGGCCATGGCAGACCAGCAGTCAAGAGGATGTCCATGAGCAACAAGGGCGTGGTGATGACCCTTGTATCGTATTAGCCTTATTCAACCTTCCGATAATGTCACAGCGCTTACCAGTCAATATAGCGAACGTAGAAGATCTCACGAAGCGTGCCGGAAACCTTGGGATTGGTACGGATGAACTCAGGGCGAATGCCAGTCTCTCCCAAGTCGGAGCCCATGGTGAAGTAGGCGATGCTGGCGACCATGGTGATAGCAGCGGTGATGTAGTGGAAGAGGCGGTGTGTGCGAGGTTTGGTGAATGACAGGCCCATGAAGACGATGGTAGAGGCGACCATGACAGCGCAGACGGCCTATCAAACATGAATTTGAGGTTCGCGGAAGCTGCAGATGGTGGGGTGCTTGCTTACCCAGTACCAATCAGATCCATGAGTGGTGATGGCAATGTCGGAGGTAGCTCCATTGACCATGTGGTCTCCGTTGGCGTGAATAGCGTCGTTGCTACGCTTGAACAAGTGTTGGCTTGCCATCTTGAGAGTCTTTTGCAACTCGAGATAGTATGCTGTGGTGGTTGGGGACGGTGATTGTTGTTGAACAGAAGAAGAAATGTAAGGTTGGGCGATGTTTGTATTGGAAAAGTGACGTGACGCTAGTGGACGAAATTCATTTTTGCTGCGATCCGATGACATAGCTCTTCAATTTGCATCATTTCCCTGCCCTCCATACACCGACCGCAAAGTGCTCGGGCAAGCTTTCCCACTATGCTCGGCTCAATCTCTAGCTTCTTCTACTCGTCAACATCCAATTGATTGCATGAAGTACAGCGGAGGACCGGAGTGGGACACCACCCTCTGCTTCCTGAACCCCTCATGCACAGCATCACGCTCGTTGTCCTCTCTAGGAAAGCCGTTGGCTTCAAGAATGCTTCCATCCCCACCATTTCTTCCTCTCTCGCTGTGAAAGGCAAACCTTGTGCGTTATCTTCCGCACATTCCGACAGACCCTTCGAACACTTGTCTCGTCGCAAGTGGCACGTCCAAGCAGCAACATGGTTTCAAGTCTCCTTTTCCCGCCATGAAATCACCATCAACACTTTCGAGACTAGCGCCTGATAGTGGAAATTGAAACCCTGCTACAGCTGCAGATTGCTAACGCCATGCCCATCCTATAAGGAGATCTCTGCCTCTACTCTACGATGACTAATGCCAAAAAAGGGCTCTCATTCGCTATCGGAGCGATGGCCGATCGAACGCCGCTTTTCTAACGTCTTTGCTCCTATCCTCCGCTAAGAGTATGCCAAATTCACAAATTGCATCGAGCTGAAACTTTCCCATCGGTTAGGTAACTGTATTCTGGGGTACGAGATTCCAACGTCAAAGCATCTCAGCCACAACAAGCGACCGTACGGTTATACGGCAATACTTTGGATCGACCTGGTGGCCTGTCTTCTTTTTATCGCCATCGGGACACATGCAAATTTAATTCGCATCATGGGACACCTCCCCACTCGATGCACGTCATGCAGAAAAAAACAATAAATGCACTTGTGTTCGATATCGTACCAATAGGGGCAGAATCCATAGCTTTCTTAGCTGCCGAGTTTAGTCGTGATGCAGCATGCTGCTTTGAAAAGGAGCCTTTTCGAAGCTTCGCGACTGTCGAACCGAGCCAACCGGGATCGATACCCTTGCTGCCAGACGCCCTTCATCAAAAAACTCAAGTTTTGGCGGTTAGACATCTTGGCAGGGAAATGAAGCTGCTTCCCAACGACTTGGACGGCTTTCAAGCCACAAGCCTGAACCGAAAGTCTCAGTGTTTTTCTTTTTCTTTTGTTCCCTGCAAGCGAGCTTGCTGCTTTACGTGGTGGATTTCCGCAAGCCATCAGGTGCTGTTGTAGCAGCGCTGCTTCCCTTGCCATTTCCAGCGTAGTTAGTTCAACGGGTCAATTTCAAACACACTTCCTCGCCATGCGACAGTCTTGGAAATACGAGTTCGCGACAGTAGGGTTGGAGCGGCGAGCATTTCCTACGCGAGCACTGCACCTTGCTCAGCTTGGCTGGGTTTCCAGAGTGCGTTTGAGATCAGGATCGGTTATGCAGGCCTGATGTGTTCAAAGAACAGCAAACACGAACTAGATCACCAAGCAAGCTGGATGAAACTATGTTCAGTAGGCGAGCTTCTAAATTGCGTCCGATTGCAGATGTGTGGAGGATACGTTACGTTCTGCCTAACTTCCTTCTACTGTTATATCAATTATATTCAATGAATTGAAGCCCCCATACATTCGTAACAATTATCTCCAGACACCCTCCCCCAACCCCTCCAAAACATCAAACCTAAGGGCCGCCATTACCATTACAAACACCAGCGTTAGCCACGCGATATGGAAGTTCGACAGCATCGGCAAAGCATGCACCTTATCGATCTTCTTAACCTCCGCCTTTTTCTTCACACTCCTACCCCAAGGCTTCTCCATCCCAAACACATCCAGCACCTGGTCACTCGTAATCTTGCTTCCAGCAAGCACGATTGGCACCCCGGTCCCAGGATGCGTTGACGCACCCACAAAATGTAGTCTGTCGATCGAGGAATGCTTGGTCGATGGTCTAAAAGATAGCACATTGAAAAAGCTATGGCTCAGGCCTAGAATAGCGCCTTTGTCCAAATTGAAGACGTCTTTCCAGCTCTGCGGCGTATTGACGATTTCCTTGACCAATGCTCCTTGGAGATCTTGAGCACCAGTGCGGGCTTCGATGGTTGAAAAGACGGTCTCGCGCGCCTTGGTCACCATGCCTTCCCAGTCTTGCTTGCTTTCTACTTTGATACCTGAGCCTTCTTTTTCATCGAGTAGATGGCCCACAGGGACTAATACCACGATTCCGTCTTTTCCCTCTGGTGCAGCGGCAGGGTCGATTCTTGAAGGTACGTTGACGTAGAAGGAGGGCTGTGAGGGTATCAGCTGCTTCTTGAAGATGTCGTCGAAGGACTCGCGGTAGTCGTCTGCAAGAAAGATGTTGTGTGTTGTGAGCTCTGGTATAGTACGGTTCATGGCCCAATAGAATGAGATGGAACTGCAGCTTGCGGACCGTTTTTGCAGTGACGCTGCCTTTGAGGATTGAGGGAGCAGGTTGTTGTAGGCGTAGACGAGGTCGGCATTTACGATTACAATATCAGCGGAGATGACCTCGCCACTGTCAAGAACAACGCCTGTTGCGCGGCGGGAATTTGGGGAGAGCTGGATGGAGGAAACGGAGGTCGAGAGACGGTATGTGACACCGTAGCGCTCACCGACGCGAACAAGAGCTGCAATGACGCTGTGGAAGCCGCCTTTCGGGTACCATATTCCTTCTGCGAGCTCAGTGTATTGAAGGAGACTGTATGTGCCTGGAGCATCGAATGGAGACATGCCCATGTACATGCTTCCGAATGTGAACACACGGCGGAGCCGTTCTGTCCAAAAGTATTTCGAGGCGCGCGAGTATATGCTCTCGAAAGGATGTAGAGCGAGGAGGTGGCGAAGGAAAGACGGCCGGGCCATAGAGAAGAGTGAAGTGTAATTTTTCTTGAGCACATGAGTAACGCTGAGCTCGTAATGCCGATGGGCTTCCTGTAGGAAGCCTAGATACCGCTCGAAGCCATCTTTGCCTTCCCACTTCTCGACCTCATCTTTCATGCGGGAGACATCGGTTGAGAGCTCGAAAGACTCGCCATCACTGAACCAGAGATTGTAGTTGGGCTCACATTTCATGAACTCCACACCTTCGGCTTCGAGGGAGGTATCGAGGTCGTGAAAGGCTTCGTGAAAGAGATGGGGGAGTAGGAGGAGGGACGGGCCTTGGTCGAAGCGCTGACAGTGGTCAGCAGTTAAGAGGTTTGAGGGGAACAAAGGGGCTCACATAGCCAGCATGATGTATCAAAGAGCATCGTCCTCCTGTAAACTCATTCTTCTCAAAGACTGTGACTTTGAAGCCAGCCTTTGCGAGGCGGGCTGCTGTTGCAACTCCGCCAACGCCGGCGCCTGATAGAATGCTTCGTAAGTCTCCGAACCTTTCGTGAGGACGTCTGCATATTTGATGAGCATACCTACAATTATTGCAGTCTTCTGCCCGGACTTCTCCTTCATTGCCTTCGAATGATTATGGAAGGTTGAGCGCCCCAAAGGCACGAAACCCTAAGCTAGAAACCCTAAGCGTGATAATGATGACGTTCGAGGCGGAGATATCTCCGCGCGCACAAGGTCGTTTTCTCTTGAGCGCGCAGATCAATTATTTCACATCAATCATGGGCACCAAATCCCGCTCCGAGAAAACCTGTCTTCAAGGATTGATTTAAGTCATGGAGGACAATTGATCTGTCGAAAACCTCCCTCTTTGGTGCCGCTCTTGACGATTTTTCTGGCATTTCACCATCTACGACTACCACTTACTCGTTTCCACCCCCATTTGCACGTTACCCCCATTTGCACGCTCTAAAATCCGATAAATCCGACGCAACACCAAAATGCCTACCTTTCACCAAATTTGTATGGCAAACTAGCATAATAATGATAGTCTTTTATTTCTATCAAGGCTTAATATCGGAGAACCTAAATCACCGTTTTTTGGGCCTTATCGGCCTACCATGTCTTGAAAAAACCGTCACTACCTCTTCTTCTACCTCCTCTTCTACTACCTTCTTACCTCTTCCACCTCTTCCACCGCTTCTACCTCTTCCACCGCTTCTATCTCTTCCACCTTGCTGCGGTGAAGCCTCTGATGAAGCCTCCGGTGGAGCCCGCCACTGTGGCGGAGCAGCTCCTCGTCCATCTCGCTGTAGTTGCTGTGGTGGAGCGAGGTTTAGTGGTATCAGTGGGCCTGGTGTGGGAGGTGCAATTGTGGGAGGTGCAGTAGCCTTTTTCTTGACAGTGTTAAAATTTCAGGTATGTGGTGTGTAGAACGGACGGATTGATTCTCCAAAACCTCTCCGGGGCCAGGTCCTAAATACAGTACAAAATCAGGTGGCTGGAAAACATGGTGGCTGGGATGCGCGGGAGCCACATTTCGACAGATAGGACTTCTACCTCTCTTCGTGTCTTCAAAAATAGCTGGTCCGAGGTGACATATGCTTCGAAATTGCTTCTCAAATTCCTTAGTAGCTATGTTATCCAGTCGCTTCTGAACAAGCTTAAGAGTTATGCATTGGCCATTATGGTAGACTATGGTGGTAAGCCATTTAGATGAGTGATAGTGGTAGCCATGGTAGTGGTAGCTATCTATGTCGGATTTATCGGATTTAAGAGCGTGCAAATGGGGGTAACGTGCAAATGGGGGTGGAAACGAGTATTCTTGCACTTTGCCAAGACAACATACGAACATTAGATACTTACCTCTGAGCTCCAATATCCATGACTGACCTGAGACATACGACATGGGCTCTATTCTCCCCTAGATAGGCTACACATTGTGCGTGAACCAAGTCAAGAGTAAAGTGCTGGTGGCTAGATTTTGTATTGAATTATGGTACTCATTGGCTTTTCACTTGATCCTTGCTATCTAAGGGACCTTGTCGAAGGGCCGCTACAATTGCTCTCGCTTCTCCCACCATTTTCGGGTAGTTGAAAACTGTTGCAGCGAACTTTGCATTCAGCAATGACAGTATGCTGTACACTGTCTCCCAGACCTGTACTCGCCACATCGTCTTCTAAGGTTCTGTTGATGGGGATGTTACTAGCCTGGTTGCCCTGAGCCTTGGCACCTGTGGGAGGTGGTTGCCTGTGTGTGTTCCCTTGCAGCTTATACATTTTCCCGCACCCATTCGAGACCCTTGGCTGAACTTCGCTTTTCACCTTTGTGCTTGTTATTCCGTCCTTGCTTGAGCCGATTCGCCACATCGCTTCAACATTGCTACCTTTGTGGGGGGAAATTTCGAATGGAAATGTAATATTGGCACGCCCTTCGGTGAATTCAATGCCGCAAGGGCGATCAATAGATCCATCGAGGGCACAAATCCCAAAAAGGTCAGTCATTTTGCGTTTCTCAAGTATGGCGCCCAATTCACCAAGAAAAGGTTGCAATTGGCTGTCGAGAGATACTCTGGGCGATGCGTGGGCAAATTCGTACGGCGCAACGCCGTCCTTGGTGAAGCCCCAGGAGCTGGGGTGAACATTTTCGAGCTCCTTCACGCCGCTGTTAGTTTTCCAGGGTACTGCGACAGGTCCGACATTCACAAGCATCTCGTCTCGCGCCAGGAGAAAGTGGTGGTGGAGAAGGACAATTCCCAGCGTGTTCTCCATATGATATTTCAAGAAAATTCGTCCAATGTCTGTGAAGAGGATCTTGCTAGCGTCCACCGAGTCAAACTGGGTTTTCGCATCAGCGACATCGGGGAGGGAGTTGTGATACTCTACAGAGTAAGATAGGATTGGTAAGGCCATCGGATTTTATTGAATAGCGAAAGTAGTCAGGCAACGTTGATATTTGCTTGCCCACTGTTCGGTCTTGTAAGTTGTGTTCTGGGTTGAGGGACTGATCCTGTGGTTTACTCTAGCTATATAGATTTTACAACATGTTTTTGAGTGCTCCATGTGATGTTCTCTCATCTGATCGCCTAGTTCTCGTTGTCACATTCCGAAGAAATCAAGGGTGACAGTGATCGAAGCATTGACGACCACGACAACCCAAGGACCAACGTGTAACTGGCTACCAACAGCAGGACCAAATGGGTTACCTGAGAATTGGGGTCCACCGGTCCCAGCTGCTGCCTCGCCGGGTGACAACGATTTGTCAATCACGCAAAGCTCACGGAAACTAGGCTTCCATACTCCGCCCCAGATTCCGGGTCTGGGCATGGATTTCCATCATCATTTCATCAGTGCCGCCATCGTGCGAGATGTGCGGTTTCGCGGGAGCTATACATTCCGGCATCTTGATGAAGGGATGGTTCGAGCCGGCGTCCCGTACTGTGGTTATGGACATGGACGACGAGATAGCCTCACGCGCCGGGTCCGGGTCTGGGAACGTCTCCGCCGTATCTTCGAATGGTAAATTATAGTAACAGGCGGCGATACGGCTCTTTACACTTTGGCGGAAGGATGGATGGGTCGAAAATGGGAAGAGGATACGCAATCTGTTGATGCATGCTTCTGCAGAGACATCAAATCCACGTTCGCTGTACCAAATAGAGCGCACCGGGGTTCCGTTGCGGTTAGGCAAACCAGCGTCTGCGATTGTTGGAAAAGGCGTCTTGCTGAAGCGATGGGGTAAAGTCCACCGCAGACTGCACAAGATGGTTGGAAAGTTGAAGCAAGATTGTGTAAGACTGATGGGTAATGGAGACGTAAAAGGCAGGACTGAGGTGACATAAAACCCCTGACTCACGTCTTGACAGGGTCACAACTTCCATTGTCAAGGTTGAGAACCCTTTCATATGTAAATTTGTATGTACAGAAACTATTAGCGCTGGTATAGCCTGCATAGCTATGAACAAAGGTGGTATCTCGAAAAGTATATACAAACCCTTAATCAGGAGGACATAGGCAGCATGCGAACCCTGTTTTGTACAAAATCAGGGGCTTCAGGTATGGCTCAAAGCATTCCAAGCGACCCTCAGTCTTCTTAGTTTGGGCACTGTCGCTCTTCCAGCCTTGACCTTGTAGCCTGGCTGTCTCAGCACTCTCCCAATCTCGACATAGCTTTCTACAGCTACCCGCATTGGGCCCCGTGCTTCTGCAGGTAATTGCTCAATGGCCCCTTTCGCTTCATCGTAAATCTCGAAAGCACTGTTCAGGAGCCGCTGTCTCAGAATCTCGGCTTTCGAACGGGCAGGGTCTTTGATGATGTCCTCTGGAGTAACCCCTTCCTCCTTGAGCCAGGTTGTTGGAAGGTAGACGCGGCCATTCGAAGCATCAACTGAGATGTCTCGCGCAATATTGACGTATTGCAATGCGATGCCCATTCGACCACCAGCTTGGACTATCCGCCTTCGCAAACTTTCGGGCGTAGATCTCTTAGTGTGATGGAAGACTAGCTCTAAGCATAACTCAGCCACAGTACCCGCCACCTGGGCTCCGTAGACTTGTAGAGTGGGTTCGTCTTTGATGGGGAAAGGGTTACTGGAGGAGAAGTGGAGATCGGTTTCAAAGCCTTTTAGAAGGTCGTAAAGTGGCGTGGGAGAAAGATGGGAGGTCGGAAGTAAGCGAAGGCTCGCCTGGGCAGATGGTGGGAACGTTGATATGAGGTCTTGTACCCGCTCAACTTTGACATAGGATTTCCCATAGGTGATGTCGAGATACTCGTTGAGCTTGGCTATCCAATGCTTGGCCTCTTCGATCGAGCCAGCTTCGTCGACCAGATCATCTGCAACACGGCAAAATGAATACAGTAAGACCAAGTCAACACGAAGTCTCCCTTGGAAGACTCCACTTGCAAGGTAAAAGCTCCGACTTTTGGCTCTGAGGCGCCCGAGTGCTTCTTGAAGCCCTTCTATCCGCTCGTCCTCGTATGAAGTTGTCGGAAGGAGCAGCGCCCGAACTAGGAGGATTGGCGAAGGCAATGTAGGTATAGTAGGAAATAGTGAAGGGAATGTTTGCAGGATGGCGAAGGCGTTGTCGAAGGCGATCAGACCAAAGACGATGAGGACATTTGTGACGAGGAAGAAGACTGCTTCTCTGTAAGGTTGTTAGCCTCCCGCTAGACCATGCATCGAAAAGTCTCATACTCGATCTCGAGCCCGTCCCATAGATGCCACCCCAGCTTCGTTCCAGACTCAATGACCCACGTCCCCCTCTTCAATGCCAGGGTATCCACAATCCAGAGGTATAGGGTAGGGAGGACGATGGGTATAAAAGTGCTAGAAAGGGGCAATCCGATTATGAATTGATATGCAAGGCTCCTGATGCTCGTTAGCATCTATTAGAAGGTGATGGGGATCTCCTAGTCATACCAAAGCAGCAAAACGAAGGGGCCTGCCCAGACAAGTATTAAACCCATGTAAAGGCCCTCCCCGCTTTTCATGATCATGCCAATGCCCGCCAAAATACATGCAACAATCGCTGATACTCCAGTCCATCTTCTCAGGCCCAGTCGCCTTCCGTCATTGAACAGCTTCTGTCCCCGAAGGTAGACCGGGTGAAACGTAGGCTTGCTGAGGAGGAGATAGAGTAGGGAGGTGTTGTAGGTCTGAATGATAAAGAAAAAGACCTCTTCCGCTGGTATTCTGAAGAGAGTAGGGCCAATGATGGCGTTGGGAGGATATGTCCATATTTGAGAGTGAATGAGGTATGAGTCCCACGGAGTGGTGGAGATGACAGCGATCTGGAGAATAAGCATAATTTAACCCCAGGCATGCTGTAGACCTACTGCTATGAGAAATAGTATCTTGTAGACCCCGAGACTGGTCGAGAGTGGATAGTAACACAAAGTCAAGGCTACCGCCGGCGGTATCGTGTATTGCAAGTGACTGCGAGTCTGGTTAGGCTTCCCAGTAGAAAGCGGCATGGATGACTTACACCAAGGCATAGTCATACCCCATGTCTAACGTTGACATTCATCGGTGCGTCACTGTTGCAGAATTCATGACTGTTTGTCGTGGGCAGCGGTTCAAGGAACTTGGAAAAGCGGGGGAAGGCTATGAGCTAACCAAGAGGCGCGATAATTGGGATAATTGAGACGAGAAAAAGCATTCTCCTTGACATGAAGCAATTTTTCCAAAATGACGCTCAATTCAATCTCAAGCAAAGGGAGCCTCCCGATGACGGTACTTTAGTATATCCGAAGTTTACGATGTCGTTATTTCATTTTGCTATGGCGCACCACATCGACAACCGATGACCTATCACAGCGGCGACTAGCTGGCATAAAAGCAGCGAGATTTGATTCCACAGGGGTCCTTCTAGCGGCCGAGAATCCCGCCCTGCCACGAAAAGGTGAAAAGGCTCCTGCACCTTGACATCACCGACTGGGGAAAAGAATGAGCAAGGCTTACCGTAAAGAAAAAGGATGCAATCATGCAACGGTTTGCTGGATGCCGCATATCCATTACGAAAGTCGTAGCTTTTTACCCCACCGGATCATACCTGACTTGACGGCTTTTGCGGGTCACGCTCCTATTGAGAAGTTTGCGCCATGGCATTCATAGCGGAGGGTATCTCCGTCGACAAGACATAAGGTAGCCGTTTTTGCCACAGCGAATCAACGGCCTCTTTGTGTGAATGGCTTTACCTATCCATGCGGCCGATCACCCCGGCTTGTAGACACAATTGTTAGCTTTGCTGCTACTCTACAATCCCCTGAGAATGAAAAATTTGAACTTTGAGGAGAAACGTCGTGGTCATCCGTAAGCTGTCCTTCTCACCAACGGCCGCCGCTTATTGACTCGGCCCTGCAGCTACCTATCTGGAAACTTCGCACCCATCCAGCAAGTGCTTCCTCTCACGCCTTGTTCATACACCGGTACCATACCAGAAGAACTTGCAGGAGGGGAGTATGTTCGCAATGGAGGAAATCCGGTGACAAATGATGCTCTCGGGCGAGATGCCCACTGGTTCGATGGCGATGGCATGCTCAGTGGTGTTTCCTTTCGACGAACGGGCGAGGAAGGGGCTATCCAGCCCGAATTCGTCAATCAGTACATTCTGACCGACGTCTACAACTCTTCCAAGACTTCCTCGTCCCTCAGAACGCCAATTTTGCCGAGCATTGCAACCCTCGTCAATCCCATGAGCTCGTTGATCACCATCGTCCTACGAATCTTAAGAACCATTGCACTGGTCATACTGTCTCATTTACCAGGCTCGCAACAAGCGATCAAGAAAATAAGTGTCGCAAATACTTCGATACTATACCATGATGGACGAGCATTGGCAACGTGTGAAAGCGGACCACCTATGCGCATAGCATTACCGAGTCTTGAGACGGTTGGATGGTTCAATGGGAAAGCAAGCGAAGGAGAGAGTGTTCGTGATACACGTCCAGGGTTTGGTGGCAAAGGCCCTTTCAGCTTCATGAGAGAGTGGACGACTGCCCACGTACGTTTAGCCATATCCTGTCTGCAATTCATTGATGCTAACTCGCTCCAGCCTCGTGTCGACCATAGGACTAAAGAATTGATTTTATACCACTCTACATTCGTGACACCCTATGTGAACTATTCGATCGTCAGCTCTACCTATGAACCTTCCAGCAAAACCAACGTCCAATCACCAAGCAATTTGATTAACCGACCAGTTCCCGGCATCAACTCTGCCAAGATGATGCATGATTTTGGAGTCTCCAGTACCCACACAATTATCATGGACCTTCCCTTGTCTCTCGATCCGCTCAACCTCGCGAAAAACAGGCCCGTCGTAGCTTATGATCCCACAAGCCGGTCTCGCTTTGGCGTGTTTCCTCGCCATCAACCAGAAGACGTCCGCTGGTTCGAGACCAATCCTTGCTGTATCTTCCACACCGCTAATTCCTGGAACTCCACTGACCCCAGCCCCGCGAACGGGTTTCCAGGCCGCCTGGACATGGTGAACATGCTAGCATGCCGCCTGACCTCGGCCTCGCTGGTCTTCAGCGCAGGTGACCTGGCGGCGCCAACTCCAACATACGACATACCGGCCGATCAGCAAGAAGAGGAGCAGTGCCGCCTTTACTACTATCAGTTTCGTCTGCCGCAGTCATGCGGCAGTCCTATATCCGGCAATGACAATCTGATTGTGCACCAGTGGGCCCTCTCCGCGATCCCTTTCGAGTTCCCGTCTCTTCGCGACTCGGTCTCAATGTCTGCCGCAAAGTACATATATGGTTGCTCCGTTTCTGATACCTCGTTTGGTGCAGCACTTGGCCGGGCAGTGAAGATTAATTCGCTTGTCAAGGTGGACGTTGAGACTCTAATCGAAAGGGGCATACGTGATCCCCCGAGCCAAATTATTGGGTGCGTCGATACCAGAGACATGTCGGAAGTACTTGCAAGTCAGAATCCGCTGGATGCCATCAAGGTGTTCAAGATGCCCGAGGGGTGGTACGCACAAGAATCTCGCTTCGTGCCACGTAGGGACGGGGTTTCTGAGGACGACGGCTGGATTCTCAGCTATGTCTTTGACGAGACCCAATTGTTGGAAGATGACGAGTGCAGGTCAGATGCCAAGAGCGAGCTGTGGATTATTGATGCGAAGAACATGACGGATGTCGTCGCTAGGGTGCATCTACCCCAGAGAGTCCCCTACGGTCTACATGGCAATTGGTTTTCAGAGGAAGATATCCAGGGCCAGAGGCCAGTGGAAATGCTGAGGACTTTTCCAATAAAGGCAGCAAAGGAGAAGGTCGCGTCGCCAGCATGGGAAGCGTGGATGGCAACTCGGAAAGTAATAGAAGGATGGCTGAAATGAATTGATCTGAAGCTCTATCTACCACATCTGCTACCATTTGCTCTGGATCTTGCCCTCAATTTTCAGCATTCCTGCTGGCATCGCCCCCATGGTCTGAGCGCCAGTGCAGACTTATGCTCATTCATCATAGCTGGAAAGAACCGGAAGCCACAATTGTTGTCTTGTGAAGGGGCTATGCCCTGGAATTTGTGCCACTATAGGTCTTCAGGACTCGAATAGGTCAAGCTGTGGAAGGACTTTGCCACATAATTACGCAACACAATCAAATGTCAGACCCTGTCTATGTGATGTCCTGAACGTCATCCCCCCTTAAGTTACACCAGAACCAGGGTATGAGACCCAAATGAGTCACGAGTCGTCTTTTAGCAGTCCTCTACATTATGCTCATCACCCCTTTCAAATAGCCAGCTTTGAGCCGAGGGCGTGATATTGAAAGGGGAGCATGCCTCTACATACCGTCACAACAAGGGATTTGGCACCCAGAATGGCCACAAGTGCTAGCTCAATGGTCCCGAAATTTTTGTTCATCATTGCTCTCATGCTGCGGCTTTGATCGTATCTTGAGGTAGCTTGCCCCTCAAAGGGAAGGCTTTGGGCTTTCGGATATTCCATTGTTTTCAATCTGCAACAGGGTAAAGCCCAAATTTGCCGTCAAGATTATCCCTTCTTCTTATTGCTTTGATGTGATTGCAGCTTTTGCTCAATTCAAAATGCCAAGCTTCACGGGTTACATACCCGAATGTCATCACATCCTAGGGCTTATGCTCCCTGTGAAACGGTGGGTTTCACTGGTTCCTACCCCAACAATGTTCTCCCTTTACGCAAGTGCAGCTCTTGCTTTGTTTGGTATGACAGATTCTCCCGGTTTCTGGCCCATTCATACTGCCATTTTCAAGTCGAGTGAAGCTCCTGTCTGACCTGAATTGACAGGTTTTACGGGTTACTGGCCCCAATCTGTCTGCAAGCTGTTACCTTCTGGAGCTCTTATTTGATTTGAAATGGCGTGTTTTGCGGGTTACTAGCCCGTATATTATTGTTTTTCTGCCGGTCCTGCTCTGTGAATAGGCCAATATCTAGCAAAGCAGTGGCGTGAAGTGGTGTCTTGCAGACACTAGTGCCTTCCCTATCGGTCAAAATGAAGTCTTACACAGTGAATCCACTACGATCAACCAAGCTAGTCTCGTATTCGTTTATCAAAGTGACTTGGTACGTGCAGATGAAGGACGGGCTCAGTGAACTGACTATACAGCCTTGTGAATGAGCGATGATCAACCAACGCCGATTCACTGGTCGTTGAGATGAATCCCTAGCCCTATACAATCTACCAGCGCTAACCCCTTTTCGTCTGTCGAAATTCATCTTCCGAATAAATCGCTAAGTAATCGCAATCACTTCGGTTATTAGCTCTACGCTCACTCGGCGATTCGCCGATAACACACCGATTTCACTCGAAAAACGCTTCACCTTACGTCGATTCACGGCGACTAGCGTGGAACTCACTTCGCCCCCAGAGGCACTTGCCAGTATATAAACCCCCTCCCCGACCACCGTCAACCATCCTTCCTACATATTCGTCCAGCAGAGCTTAGGCTTCCAGCTTCAGCAGGGCTCTGCCTTTGGCGGCCCTTATACACCATCATCAGCAAAGCTCTTCGATATCTTCTTGGGCATTCATGACATACAGATTTCCTTCAGCCTCCATGCTGCGTTATATCCTACACGCTGCAGCCAGGTGTACACAGTCGACACTCAAGCTAGCACCTTCCAAGCTGGCAGCTATGTCAGACCAACTATCTTCTCCACCTCCGATATTTTCTTTCACGTACAGACAGCTATTCCAATGTCTGATGATCAACCTTTGCTGGGGCACTTCTGGCGGCAAAATTAGGGGCTTAGCACAGAATCCGACATTTTGCGACACGGACTATGTGTTGAGGCCGTGAGACAGTTGGGTAAAGATGAATCTTCTTTGATTTGCGCGCTTTTCCTTCTTCAGACACACACTTCTTCAAATTTTATTTTTGCCTTTCAGAACAATATAAAAAAATACACTTTTTCTTCTGCCACCCCGGCTCCAGAGCGTCCAGGTCTCTTCAGCTAGATGCCCGCAGCCGGTGTCTTCGAAGGTAAAGTCCCTGCAAGACTCAAGAAAGTACGACCTAAGGCTAACTCCCTCAGCGGACTCCATGTTGCAGCGATCTCCACAGGCTTCAGTGGCTGGCAACACGGGCAACGCCCAAGCTGCAAGCGCCCGGCTGGCCTATGAACACCCTGATGATCCCAAGCAGTGACGAGGGACATCAGACGGGGCCGATGCGCAGAGGAGGTGGCCGCTTGAACACGCGACAAGGACCGTACGACCGTCGAAAGCAGCGAAGATATGCTAACGACGGCCGATGGACCCCTATGGGCAACGGCAACTCCAGGAACGGACGTGGCGACTTTGCCGATGGAGCTGGCAAGTGGGGTGATGCCAAACGGCGACGAGATGCATCAAACCGGGTCAACACGCAGAGGTGGTGGTCGCTTGAACACGCGACAAGGACCGTACGACCGTCGAAAGCAGCGACGATATGCCAACGACGGCCGATGGACCCCTATGGCCAGCAGCAACCCCATGAGCTGGCGTGGCGACTTTGCCGACGGAGCTCGCAAGTGGACCGAGATGCATCAAACCCGGCCTATGTGTAGAGGCGGTGGCGGATTCGACACCAGACAAGGACCTTACGATCGTCGACAACAGCCCCAACATGTCAATGACGCGAGACTTACACCAATCCTCAATGGCAAGCCAATTGAATCGGCAAAGCGTGTTCGCAGTTTGAATTATTCCCGGGGAGACTGGTGGTGCGCAGAAGGTGGGCCTGAAAGACAATCATACCTTCATCTTGGCGGGACAGGAGACACATGACACTGATGACACTGATAACATCCTCACACACTGATGACGACAACGACACCATTGTAAGTTTTGCTGGTGATCCTACTTGCAGCTTTCGAGAAGAAAAGACAGCTGGAGAAGAGGAGTGGTAAGCGAATTGATCCCTAAGAACAATGATACGAGGAACTTTTGCTGACACGCTTTCCAGTCCTTATCACCAAGCTTGGTTGGCATATTGTGCCAATGATCGGATGCCGACGCCTATGAGTGACGGCAATCCTATATATATACGCGGCATGTTTGCAGGTGGTGGTGGAAGATGGGATGACGGGTCATCTTGTCCTCGGAGGAGCCGTGATCCAGCATGTCCTTCAAGGAGGTGCGACGTTCTTCTAGGAGGCTCTGAACTTCGGCAAGAGATGGCTGGACTGGCAATGCTTCACGCTGGGCTGGTGAATCACTCTGCGATGGAGACCCAGGTTCAACCAGAAGTTTCGGCTCTTGTCCAGATCGAGGCAGCGATCTTGAGCCGTTACACAGCCAAAGCAATCGTTCGGCTGCTAGGCGTTCAATGGCTTTCCGGCATCGCTGTAGCGGAGTATGACTCCAAGAACACATGGGATTGGGATCCGAAGAAACGCCTGCAAGCTGACTCCTCATCTGAGAGCTCTGACGATGGCGGACACTACGATTCAGACTATGATGAACGCCCGCAAGTGTTCAGAAGTGTTTTCAGCACTGTGGCGGAGGATAGGTTTCAGCCTGTGGTCAACAAACGCTCCCAATCCAATGCACGTCCTCATGGCTGGCCGCCAGCTCATCTCAAAGCCTACCCTCACGGCATGCAGAAGCTTCGTGACGAACATAAGATGAAAAAAATTCAAGAGGAGGTGATGAAAGCCATGGAAGATGATCGTACCCTTACATTACAACAAATAATTATTGACTCTCAGGTCAGCGTCGAGCACTTTCACGGGTCAGTCCCAACTACAAGAGAGATAATTCAGTCAGGGCCGCCTTCGGGCAACTCGGGGTCACTAACACTCCTTTGTTCCCATAGTCCTTCACGTTCCTCGATCATAACTGACCGTACCAGCCTGGCATGATTTCCTCGATGTGACGACAAAATCTCAAAGCACGATTCGACGAGCTCGAACTCAGTATCAGATCGCGGCATCCGCACGAAAGCATCCGTTTGTGTTACCGCCAGCTGTCTTGATGTGTAGCCGCGCTCTCACCTGCTCGTGTGAATTTGTGAGACACTTGAGAAAGCAACACGAAGAGCCTGTCCACTTCGAGTCCGCTACCACACAGCGTGCAATTACAACAAATACATAACGAGCTCTGAGCGCCAATGCAAGACAGGCGTCCTGGACAAGCTGTGGGGCTGTGAACTCAGAATCCCTCAAGAATACAGCGGAGCTCAAATTGCAAACGGGACTCGAAGCTGTCCAACCAGCCGTGGCATCGAACATCAAAGAATGGAAATCCCACCCCCCAAAAGCTTCTTTCTCTTCTTTCATCACGTCAGACTTCAAAGCTCGGATCAATACCGTAGTCTATGCTCGTGCCCTCCCGAGAGCGCCAGATCGACAATGGAGCCGGAGTCCTTATCGCAGGTATGCCACTTGGTAATTCCATGGGAAGCTGTACCACAGATCATCTTACAGATCGTTCAGCCATACCATGCAGGCAGTGAGGATTACAAATTTTACGCTCCACTTTCTTCTCATACCCTCCTACCAGAGCTTCGACCCATCGATATGTGGGGTACAGACTCATCAGGAGCGTGAAATCTCTCATACACTACCATCGACTACCGTGCTATGTTGCACTACTTACCTCATCACCTTACATATAAAAATAACCCACGTTGCTCGACATCGGTGTCTTCACCAGCCGCAAAAGAACTTCTGTTTCTCCTCGGTTCTGTCGCAAAGACGGTCCTATGGTTGGCCAGAAGGCTTGGGGTCTGGGTGGCGATGATCATGCACCAAGCATTTCCGTCCTCGACTGCGCTCTTACCATCGAAGATCAGGAATGCAAGATCGACGTGTAACATGGCGGATTTGATCGCCCAGGTCTTTGAAAACCTCGGGAAGACAATCGTCGTATGGAGATGGGATGCCTGTGACCGACAACGAAGGATCACTAACGAGTGAGAATTTCCATGCCCCGAATACCTGACAACGTTGACAATTGCGAAGACCCTATTCTTGGCACCCGCGTGCTCTCCTAGAAAGGCAGGCAATCATTGCCGTGATGTCGATGGGTACCGGTTCAAGGGGAAGATTTGCTTGACAGGGATTGGCGAGAGTGTCCGAATGTATATAGGAAATTCTCCACAAGCCTTCACATTCCACGTACGTCCAATGTTGTCACTGCGTTTTCCGATTCCGTGATGATGAATATGAAGGCTTTTGAGGCAGGGTCTGCTAACAACATAAGCAACGAGCTGACCGAATTTGGTGATGTTGGTCCTGGTATGACCTTACCAAACGCGTGCTTGGCCATCTCTGCAGTCTCGTTCTCCAGTACCACGTACGTGTAGCACAACGCTCTTGTTTAATTCTTGACCATCTAACATCTGACATACATAGCGTCATTCGTTCCTATGCACAGCGTACCACCCTTCTCAGCGACATTCGAAGTCAGTCAGGGCTGCCAGTATCCCATCATTTCGAAGCTTTTCTACGAGGAAGCGTGATGGCGGATGATTGTTGACTTGAACTGCAAGGGTTCTGAAGATTGGCTTCCACGGTGGTCATCCGAGGAGCAGTAGCATGGATCCGCATCCGGCTTTGTGTCATTGTGGCTTACCAAGTCAACCTTCTCCACCCCATGCCTCCACCCGGCCTTTTCCAACATCTTATTCCTCAAACGAGATGGAACTACAGTGCTCCATCCATCGCAGCAGCCATGGAGCAGGGCAATGCGAATCTCCTCATCGCTTTGCCAATAAAGAACTCAGGAATCGCTGCGAGGTGGTTGACCACTAGAGCGGCCAGCGGAGATTGTCGACGACACAGCTGACAAGCCTGGGCAAGGCCCAGATTTAGAGAGGCGAAAGCAAGTCTGTGAGTAGCACTGTACGTCGAAGTCTGCTCACTGCATGTTTTGATTTTGTGTCTTTTCTGTTCTCGTACTTTGGGCACCATCCTTATGCAATGCAGGAGATACTGATGCTTTGTTTTCAGAGCTATTTCGATTCTTTTGAATTCTTTTCTTCGTTGGGGGTAGTTTCAGATTCCGAGGATAGGGTCTGAGTGTAGCTGGTGACCAGCATCTTGGCAGCAGCAGGAGGAGGCACCGCTTCTTCAAGCCTTGGTACATACTGAGTTTCGCCAATGAGGGAAGTAGTATAGGATGACCAATTTGGTCTATCAGCGTGGCTATTGGAGTGTGAAAACTAGAGTATCTCACAATTGGGTGGCTAATGAGCGGAAATCTGAGGCCGGGTCAAAAGTCCGTCTTGTTAGAGTGAATATCACGGAAATCCACCACTCGAAAATCTCGGGATTCGGAATAGCCGAGTGCAGCGGGCATACTACTTTGCTGCTCGAAAACTTCTACTTCTTCTTTACACATCTTTATTCTTCTTTGACGATCAGCCAAACAGGACCTGCACCACGTCAGGACTCTTGTTACCCAGTCAAACAGGATACCAGAGCGTCCGTGAAGCTCTCACAAGTAGACCAATAGTCTGCTTGCCACAGTGAAAACCACTAGTCAAGGTATGATACACTCACAGTCCTTTTGCCTCACACCTTCACCAAAAGCTCATCTACTTCATCTCTGCCGTCTCGCATCAATCACACCTCGATCTTCTCCATCAATCTCATCACCTGCAATTACTATTGCTCACCTCACTTCCGCGGTCGAGAAAGCCATTACGGCCAGAGGTCGACGCGTTGAGTTTGCCACCGAAACACCTTTGCCATTCGAGATCAGAGATCAGAATAAGAGCCCAACACCCAATTATCAAGTTCTTCCTCCACCTATCATATCCATCTTTCCAATCTTCGTCCCGCTTCAAGTGCATTCCTTCCCGAATCATTGTTGACCGTTCACTTGTCAATACAACCATTCCAGAAGAATAGCTAATTTTCTGGTGCAGAACTCCATACTTGAATCTCGTCACCATGTCTGCCAACGGTGACGACCACGCTCTTTCCGACGTGACCAACAAGGTTGCCAAGGTCCAGGTCAGTGAGGTGGCACTCGAGTGTGTCAAACAAGCGGGTTGGGTGCCCACCCAGGGATTCGACTACGGAAAGTATAATAAGGGACCTCATGATAAGACCGCTCCAGCTTCGGGGCCAGATCAGCCGCAAGGAGACGCTTCAGGCTGGGCTGGTGATGCAGTCAGATACGAATGGGACGAAGACTATGGGGATGTCGGCCCAGAACACAAAGAATTGAAGGACATACTGTTCAGCAATGAAAACAAGATGGTGCGAGGCGAAGAGTTCTCCAAGTAAATCACCCTTTGCACGCCAACACTGGTAGGCATAGCTGACCGGGCCAGGCTTACCGAGATCGCTGTCACCTTCGAGAGTCAGACAAAGATCAAGCCAGTTGCCAAGGTACTTGGATCATTGATCTTATCTGCGAGCAATGCTGACTTGCTCTCCACATAGTTTGAAGATGCCGGCCTTCATCCCGTGATGCTCGCAAATGTTAAGCTCTGCGGCTACGAGGTTCCAACTCCAATTCAAGCTTACTGTCTTCCCTCGGTCCTGAAAGGCATCGATATCATTGGCGTTGCTCAGACTGGTATGTGCCTCGTGATATCTGAAGCGATCAATACTGATACTGTCGCAGGATCCGGAAAAACAGCTGCATTCCTGATCCCTACCCTGTCCAAGCTTATGGGTAAGGCCAAGAAGTTGGCTGCTCCACGTCCAAACCTCACGAAACCATGGACTCGTGAAGACGGGGTTCGTGCTGAACCTTTGATTCTTATTGTTGCTCCTACTCGTGAGCTAGCAACTCAGATCTTTGATGAAGCCCGTCGCCTTTGTTACCGATCTATGCTTCGTCCTTGCGTCATCTATGGTGGTGCTCCGACTGGAGAGCAGATGGATGAACTAAGAAAGGGCTGCGATGTTTTAGTTGCTACTCCTGGACGTCTCATGGACTTCATGAGCCGTGGACACCTTCTATCACTCAGCCGCGTCAAGTATATCCATCAGCTCCAAAAATTGTCTATGACATAGCACTGATCATGTCAGATATACCATTATCGATGAGGCTGACGAGATGGTGTCTCCTGACTGGGTCGATGAAATGCGGGCTGTGATGGGAGGCGCAGATTCTAATGCCGATGATGATCATGTCTATATGATGTTCTCTGCCACGTTCCCCAAGGAAGCTCGCGCTGTTGCCAAAGAGTACATGTCAAAGGATCACATCCGCATCCGCGTCGGTCGCGCCGGCTCTTCACACATGAACGTCGTCCAGAAGGTGAGAGCGTCCTCTCTGGTTTTGTGGGCATAAACTCACAAGTTTCAGGTCCTTTTCGTCGACGAGCCTAAGAAGCGCGAGTGTCTCTTCGATCTCTTGCTGTCAGTGCCTCCTGCTCGTACTATTGTCTTCGTGAACAACAAAAAGGCAGCGGATTTTCTAGATGACTTCCTCTACAACCGTGGGCTTCCAAGCACATCCATACACTCAGACCGCACCCAGCGTGAGCGCGAAGATGCAATGTAAGCCAATCATAGCACAAGCTGATGCAGCATCTACTTACGATGTACAGTCGTGCTTTCAGATCAGGCAAAGCTCCTCTACTTGTTGCCACTGGTGTATCTGCTCGCGGACTCGACATCAAGAACGTGATGCATGTCATCAATTACGACTTACCCAATTCTGACTATGGCGGCATTCACGAATATGTCCACCGCATCGGGCGAACTGCTCGTATCGGCAATATCGGCATGGCGACATCTTTCTACAATGACAAGAACGAGGACATAGCCGACGCTTTGACCAAGCTGCTCATTGAAACCCGTCAGGTCGTGCCTGACTTCCTTGAGAGCTACAAGCCTGAAAATGAGGAACAGCTGAAATTCGATGACGATACTGATGATGAGGGCGACGACGCGGCCGGTGGTGACGCTTGGGGTGGGGCAGCGCAGACAAATGGCACGGCCAATGGCGATACCTCTGGTGATACTTGGGGTAGCGAAGCTCCTGCTACTGACAATAACAGCGGCTGGAATTAGACTACCCATTCGCACGAGCAAGACTGCTGGGAATTCCCATTTGTGTCTCTCTCCAACAGTTCAAGCATAGCTGTGAGAGCGATCTTCGATGACGAGGTAGACTTTGGCGTGGCGTGCAGACAGCAACCTTCCTTTTCCTTCTCAGAATAGCTAGCTTGCAATCAGATGTGATACCCAATACAGCTATCTGCAACCGTATGCTTAGCAACGTGATGTATATTCTTTGCAAACGTGACTATAATAGCTTGTGTTGACATCGGCCGGCTTTGCGCTCCAATTCCACCTTCTCGATACGCATTAAGATTGCCAGTCCAATCCTTCCAAAACATCAGCAATCTCCCTCTTGAACCATCGTGATGAATTGAACATGGCAGTCTGACTTACGCAGTAATTCATTGAGGGGACGCATTGCTTCACTTCTACAACACGAAGCTTAGCGTTCACCTAGTCGTAACAATTTTATTTCAGCATGGAGCCAAACAAAACCCACAACCCTCAGCCCACACAACTACGAACACCAAGCAAGCTATCAATCATGGAGAGCGCGAGTCCGAGCCATGGAATGACAGCGGCTAACAAAGACACTGTTAATAACGTCGAGGGCAATGGCAACAAGTTGAACACTCCGCCGTAAGTCGGAGTCAATTCACCCCAACTATTAGACAGTTCCTAACACCTTTTTCAGCACGAGCAGCGCTGAAACCTTCAGCCCAGCAAGTTTGAATAAGCGAGGACGATTGAGAGTGGCCAGTCTTGTTGATAGCCGTGAGTGTCCTGAATCGAAGAGTGCTTTCGTAAATCGATTTCACAAACGTTGGTTGACTTGGAGCCGTATAGCGTCAGCTGGTCGAGGCATTGGTAGCCCACCCGCAGGGTTCGGAGCAGGTCTCCACAATGTCCCGTCACCTATCACTACCACCACCACGCAACGCCAGGCTCCGCCAATGGAATCAACCAACGCGGACGACATACGCGAGCCACTACCAGTGACGCAGCTTCCTGGCATCGCTGAGACTTTGAAGGATCTCGCTCCTAGTCAAACGAACCAACCTCTAGTGGCGCTTCCCGGACGTCCAGCGCAGGTAACAGAAAGTGTATCGGTGTTCCCTCCTGCACAATCAGGTTTACTCAATGGAGACAGCCAAGAAAAGAGCCCAAAAAAGAGAAAGGACCCAGCGCCACTTCTCAACATATACGATCGTCGCGCTGACCAGATTGGACCCAGTCATCGCATCCCAGGAGTGGGACATCTAGGGGACTTACTGACCCCTCCGGGCTGGAAGCTAGGCGATGAGCCCATCGATGAAGCCGAGGCGCAGAATCTCTTTGCAGCCTCTCGTCTCAAAGCTAAAAAGATGCTTGACGAGGGCATGCGCGAGACTGGCCATTTCTCCAGCACTGATCACGAGGAATTCTGCGCAGAGAAGAATGCGCAATACCAGACACAGCGCACTCTTGACGAATACTTGCTCGTCGAGCGCGTGAAGCTGTACAACTTCTGGCAAGAGCGCAAGCAGAAGCATTTCCACCAACTGCACTCGCAACCACAACAACATTGTCATTCCGAACCTAAGCCAGAGACCCGCCCTCAACCATTGCAGCCACCTGTCCAGACTTCGATGATAGCATATCAACGGCATCAACAATCCCTAGTCCCAGCTTCGCCACATCTCTATGCCCCTAGTCCACCTTTGTCCGGAGGAACTTTGAACGCTCGTATCAATTTTATGCAGCAAGGTATGGTTGACATGTTCCCTAATCATGAAATGCTGGGAGTTGGGAGCTGACGAGGAGCTTCTATCAGGCCTCCATATACCGCAAACTCCAATGAGCCCAACCTTCCTAGATCCAGGCCTCGTGCCACAAACGCTAGAAGCTGTGTACAACTGTTACGCTCGTAATCAAGTGATCATCATGAACATGAACAACGAGAATGAAAGATTCTTGACGCAGTGGTCTGCAAGATTTCATGTTCCGAGACCCCAAAATCCGGTAGCGCCTGGTGTCATCCCGTCCCTCACTGGCCAGAGAGCAGCGCCATTCGGCAGCATCCACTATGGTTATATGCCACAGGACCTACGTCCCTGGACACCATCCCAGGCAAGATTTGAGGGGATGACCGAGCTAGCTGTGCCGACCCTGCAAGCGAGACCATTTCCATCTGTTTCGAACCCATCAAACCTCAGACAGGAATATGGTAGAGCATTGTCTCAAACGGCCAATCGAAATGGTCCTTTCCGGCATCCAGATGGCGACACAAATTCTCCAGAGCGCAAAATCCAGACCATCAACACTCCTGAATCAAAAAAGGTGGGCTGTTCTAATCTGGTCAATGGAGTTTCTTTGGGCTGATAACAATCCAGCGTGGTCGTACACCGAAGGCCGATAAGAAAAAGAATTGGTATGCTGATGAGATCGCTGAAGCGAACCTTCCAACCTCGGTCATTAGTCAAGCTGCAATGAAGGCGGGTATGGATTTCATGACCAACGAAGACCGGAAGCAGTCCCCTCCCAAGCCGAAAGGTCGCCGTGGGATGCCTATCATCGATCCGAAGAAAGGGTTTGCAGTGTCTGCAGACGCCGCCAAAGCCCTCATTGCCAGGGGTGCGGCTGATGCAAGACCAAGACAGGGTTCATTAGCGCTCAAGGCATCTGCCAATGGCTCCGTAGCCATCGCTGCTCCATCGACCGGCGTCGTGGCAGGCTATCAAGCCGGCTTCTACCCCGGTGCTGGGGCCGAAGTCACGTCTGTTCCAATGGTATGTTGACCTCTGCTCTGAGCTAAAAGTACTATTAACACGGTCTCCAGCTTCAGCGGGACGAAGACACGATCAGTGCACCCAACAGCGCAGTCAGCGGACCCAGCAGCGATACACCGGATGATCCGAAAGATACTAACTACGGTCAAAAGGCCCAGCACAAGCCAGCTACACCACGTGCCACCGTTGCACCTCGCAAAGTTGCTTCCACCGCCGATAAAAAGCGCAAGTCCACTGATGCGGCACCGCCAGCCAAGAAGCGCACCCGGCACACTGTCCACGGTACAGCAAACATCGAATCATAAGCGACACATTTCAGCCGCATGCAGCGCTCCTACTATGCTCTCCCAGTTTCAGAGTCTCTCAACATTCCAATGCTGCTAGCCCATCATGTTCGAAATCTTGTATCAGTCACTTCCACGAACCGCCGTTCTGCCCAACGCGCAGATTCAACATGTTCTAAAGGCCTCAGACGTGTTCGGGATCATTTCTCTTACATTCTTCACTCAGATGTTCTGAAGCCATTTTCTCCGGACGCTTTGACCTCCAAAAACATACAGACTTGTAATAGTTTAGCATCATCAGTCCCCTTTGTACGACCCTCGATCATTGCATGTTCCACCATAAAAGTTTTCCACCGGAAAGTCCTCATCGTTCTGTACAAGATTAGGCCTGGAGCTTTGTCTTATGGACGGGAGGAGGAGAAAGAAACGGTGGTTGATGTCGTGCAGAATTGCCAGAAGCGCTCAAGTGCGGCGTGGTTTTCTCCGAGCCGCCTTGTATGGAAGGAGCCACAAATCTCGCGCAGCTGGTTGTGCTTCCTTTTATTTTCCATAATCACAGCTGTGTACTCTAGTCTAGCATTTTACTCAATTCCTTTCAAATGACTTACTCTTTCAACCTGATACCAGTACCCCAATGAGCTGGCTCACTAGGTATGAGGTCCTGTGAAGGACTAATGCAGGCATCATCTGGCATGGGTCCTGGGCGAGCTTGTGTGACACGATGACGACGGAGAGCTGTTTCCTCGCCGACCTTCTGGGTCTCTCGGCCTAATAACGAGTATTTACGTAGGAGGTGTCTACGACGACAGGGCTAGCAATCTGGGCTCACCCCTCATGAGCCAGCGACCTGGGAGCCACAAGCCACCCAAACCAGACCATGAATATGACCACAGAGCTAGAGACCTCGGCCGCACAGGCTTTCCGCCCCATACAATGACTTCAACCGCTGGATCAGAGGCATCGCCTCAGCATGTACCCTTAGATCTCCTTGCCGTCGGTCAGTCAGGCTCCAGCACAGGCCAAACTTGGAAGTCATATCAATGTCCGGCCGTCAAACTAGCGTGAATCGGAATTGGATGACCAAGCACTACCTCCCAACAATGGAAGTGCCCAGGCGTGAGGAATCCTCTTCCTGGTCTTTATGATAGAGGCTTTCCAATGTTGTCAGTATTGTCGACACCCTCTCTATGTTTGTATCCACTAATCTCCCACATAGGCTTCGCCCTTCTCTTCTGTGTCTTCCAAGTGTACTACTCCGCGCACGAGCCCTTTCGTGGCAATCAGAACATACCCGTTATCGGTACGCTGACCACCAGCGTCGTCTACCTCGGTGCTCCTCTACATGATCTGGATAGGCTGGGCTGTATCTATATTGAGCCTCGGGGCGGTCAGCTTTGCAGAAACGAGTAGAGTTCTGATCGCTACGCAAGGTGCGCTCTACAGTGTCCGCTTTACGACCATGTACTTCATCAGTATAAGTATGCTCAATGAGTGATTCATGGTGAAGAGGGGTTTGGCTTTGGGAATCATGCGGGCGTCTATGGGTGTCAGTGGAACTTCAATGCCTTTCATGTGGGCACCTCTGCTCAATACATATGGCTACGTTCCGACTCTAGGTGCCTTTGCGGTAGCTATGGTGGTACTAATTGGCATGGTGCTGCCGGTGCTTAAAGGCAGGCTACCAGCCTCTAAGTCAAGCGGAAGACGGAGGATTGACATGGCTTTCCCACGAAAGCCGCTCTTCTACTTCTTTGCAGCATCTGTTTCCCTGAAACCCCTTGGCCCCGTCTTTCGAACATCGTATCTGCCTTCCTACGTTGACTTCCTCGGTTACAGCCCTTCGACCAGCACTCTTCTCCTTGCCGTCTATTCCTTGATTCAAGTCTTCGGCCAGATCGCTACCAGCTACCTCAGACAACCGTGGGCCTATCGAAATCTTCGCGTTCACCTTGCACCTTGCCTCTTGTGTCTTCCACCTCCAATCACCCTCTCATTGCTCTTTAGCTTTCTTGGCGGAGTGTACATGGTACTATGAGCGAAAATGGGTCTAGAGCTGATCGATGATCCGACGGTGGCCTTGATGGCATCTGGGACATGCACATTTTTGAAAGGCGTAGGAAAAGTGATTACTGGGCCGATAAGTGCTCAATTGACTGTGCAGTCTGCGTCTCTGCATAAGTTTGAAATATGGAGGTACAAGTGGATCATCTCGTATTGCGGGATCTGAATGTTCGCGTGCTCGCTCACAATGGTAGAGCTGTTTCTTGAGTAGGTAGTCATTGAAGCCGGAGCGATATAATACCGGTAAGGTAGGTAATATGTTGGAGTGAAATTATCCGCTAGCGCTCGGGTAACGGCCTTAAGGTGCCTTGCTCTTGTTTGCCTGTTTGTACCAGCCTTTCAACTTCTACCACCCAACCCCAACGCAGCCTCGTACACTCTACCATCACGCTTGACGTCAAGCAATTGGATTGAAAGGCTTGTAAACTTGCCTTGAACTGGCATAAGCCTATGTAGCTCGACCATCCAACCCCTCAGAAACTCAGCCATCGACAAATCTCACTTTTTCGAACATTGAATGTGCACCAGAGATTCTCCGCCAGCACTCTACAGTTGAAAAAAGATCTACTAGGGCCTCTACGTCCTAACATATACCAGGTTTAAGCCTTCTGTCAGTCATGGACGTCAACGCACCTGCAGCACTAGGAGTGGGACAGGACCCGGCACTTGACACCACCAAACTGCCAGCAGACCACCCTCCAAAATTCTTGGCCGAGGCAAAACGAATCTACGAGAATAGCAAGCCTCCCTTCGTGACTACTCCGGGCAACAGCTCTAAAGGATCTAGGAGGGCCGTCTTCGTTGCCAAAGACGGTCAACGACCTCCTCTAGCAATTCGAACCGATTTGGTCGCCAAACATTGGGGTGCACTCGCCCTCGATGGGATCTATTGGACTCTAGATCTCAATGGTGAGAGATTCATTGTCCAGTCTTTTCCCAACAAGGGGTGCATCAGCGGTGCAAAATGGGTCTACTGTTCTTGGACAGGAGTAGAGGATGAGTTTGAAGATCTGCCGTTGGCGTTCTCATGCATCAATGGGGAATACACGAGTGTTCTAGGTCCAAGAACCGAGTCTCCTGCTGCAGCAAAGCTACCAATGACCAAGTACGATACCTTGACTAGTGCGACAGCCAACAGCCTTGGTCACGATCTCCCGGTGGAATATCTCGAGGAGGCGAAAGCGCTCTACGTGGATTCTAGACCTCCTTTCGTGATCCATAAGACTAAGAAGCCCCGCAGACACGTTCTTCTTGCTACGCAAGACGGTCATTTCTCGGCCATTTCAACAGAAGCGGAGGTGGTGTACCGGACCTGGAATTCTGTGGATGACTACCCGACTTTGGACTTGGATGGGAAGAGGTTTATTCTGATGGGCAAGCACATGGGTCACCCACGTCGATACCAATATCGTCTTTGGCTCGGCTCTGGTGAAGGGCGCGTCAAGAGGATTGTCGCCTACTCTAGTCAGCCCGCCAGCGCGAGGAAGACAGCGTCAGGCCTGACCGAGCATCTGCCCGAAGTCGACGAAGATCCAAGCTTGTCGTCGTCATCCGACGATGAAGAGGATCAGGACCCTCACGCAAGTGCAACAGAAGACCAACAATATTTCTACGACAGGTTCAAAAAGGCCTTTGATCCTACCGCCATTCCTCCTCCAACGCCAATCAAGTTCAGTACACGTCAACCGGTCGCTTCATCCGAGCCACCAGCGTTGAAAGAACGTCCGCGTAGGACACCTAAGCCTACAAAGAGAGCGAGAAGCCCCTCGCCGCCTGCACACTTCGGCTCCAGGTCAGGCAAAACGCCAGCTTCCGTTCCAAAGCGAACCCCTCGCCGAACCCGCTCGCCTCCCGACGACTCCTCCGACCTCTCCTCCCCGCCCTACGAGACTCCGGCCCCTACGCCCGGCATCAACCACCGCCCGGCCTCGACCCCCGGAACCCAAAACCCCCATGCCCAAGCACCCACTTCTCTCCCGACCCTCACTCTCCACAAACAAACCCACACCACCCTTCGCGTCACTCGCGATTCAAACATCATTGGTTTCGTCCCACTACGACTGCTCGCCTGCATGACCATGGCCACACTCTTCAGCGGCGTCATCGCTGCCAGCGGGCACAAAGAATACGAACAGCCGGTTAGATGTCTCATGGCTATCTTTGACTGGAAGGACGAAACTGATGTCTACAAGACGATTTATATCGACAGGGGAAGCGAAGGCAGCTTTGAAATATTCTTGGAGATTATCGATGAGGCGCCCTGTTGGAAGGATGAGGGGGGGAAGTGCGGAATTGTTGTTGAGGTCGTCAGGGCTTAGAGGTGGCGGGGGGCTGTGAGATGGAGAGGACGTCGAGAGATAGATAGGAAGGAGCCAGGCTGGCTCCGCAGCTAAAGTGCAATGGCTATGGTAGAGTTATCCGGCATTGATGTATCTACATCCTTATTTGTTTTTTTAGAATAGTCGAGCATTTCAAGAACGGTAGCCTAAATTGATACATAAACCATGTACAGCCTCGATCAGACTTCCAACAGACTCCAAACATCATAATTTTCGTCGCTCGTAATAATCAAACAATGCTCCAGCAACTCTTCCCCCGCAATAACAACTTCGACTGCATCCATACCCACCATAATAGCTATCTCTTGAACATGTAGTCCCACATCCGCCTGCTTGTCTGCCCTCATAGCCCAATAAACCTTATTTGCGTTGACACTCATATTCGGAATCGAGCGACCGTCACGGGTTGCAGGCCCTTCAAATGTATCCATCATTCCCGAGTTTGGAAAGATTGTCACATCAATAGAACAGTGGCCCTTTTCTTCAGCCCAACAGGGGGCAGTTTCCACCTCATCGCAGATACATATTAGGCCAGCCTTGATGGTTTGGCGTTCCAGAATCATAAGTCTTCCGTTATCCTCCTTGGATAGCCATGGAAATGTAATGTGAAGCCGCTTGACAGTGTCGTCTAGCAAGGACCATATTTCGAGGACTTTGGTGAAGAAAAGGGAAGGTGCCATGCAGTCTTTCAACAGTAGGGGTTTGTAGCCCTTACTGCCGTGTAGATGTACCTTTAGCTTCGTGTTCGCGAGCTGATATTGTGGCGATTTCTTTGACGTTGCGGTTAGGGTTCCGGGTTGGCCATCACTGATAGCAGTAGCCGTTGTGGTGGTGGTCACTTGTGTCTGACGTTGGGGTAGAATATTGATCGACTGAGGTATCAGAAGCTTGGGCACGTCTCTTTGAGTCGGGATCATCTTTGCAAGAGGGGCTGGAGACACTTGGATCTGTTGAGGCGTGGTGGGCTTTGATTTGTTTCGACTGGGTGGAGTAAGCGGAGTAACTCTCTGTTTCTTGCCCAACGGTACATCATCAGAGGTGCCAGATTCGTATCCAGACTGGGCACCAACGAAGGTAGCGGTACTAGTACGTTCGGCGAGCCGTGTTTCCATGGTTGCAGCTCCCTTCTGCCTTTCGGTGACGATCGTAGAATTGACATGCTTCGTTTGCTGGGGCTCGTGGCCAACTTTGCGAGTCAAAGGCCGGTCGGATTTGGATTCAGGTTCGGATTGGGACTCGTGGAAAAGGGAGTCGAAGCTAGCTTCAGAATCACTGTCTGCTTCGGTCATCGACCGGTCAGAGTGGCGCCTTCCTGAACTGCGTCGGGCCTCTTGCTGCTCTTGGGTAGGCGGCGAGACGATACAGATGAGGTTTTGCTCAGTGCAACGCTCACACTTGGCACCAGAAGTTGGAATGCACTTGCGTCTTCGTCTTCGGCAAGTCTCACACTGTAACGGTGTTAGATTTGAGGGGGTAAACCATCACAGTGCCTACTTACGGCTATCTTGACGGCATCACGGGGTGGCATAAAGCAGGTCAGACCCCGGTTGGTGCAGCGTCTGCATCGGCCGGTTGACGTCACTTCACACTTCGTGCTTCCATCAATGCACGATCTGCACTGTAGGTGGTGGGATAAGTTCAAGTGTTTGACATGAGGGACGGGGGAAAGCCTACCGCGACTCTAGTTCTCTGGCTCATGGTCGATGCAAACGAGGGACTGAGGTAGAGAACGCCCGTAGAGTGTCGGAGATGAGGGGAGATAGAGGTTGTTGTGGTTGCGGTAGGTTAGACATAGCGAGAAGCAACCGAATGTTTGGATATGATTCGCGGCAAGCGCGTATGGAGGTCAGGTCATCATTAAGGGAAGGAACCACTATCACAACAGATTTTTACTGCTTGTCATTCAAGATGTGTCCAGATTTCATGGGCCCAAGTCCTGATTTTCAGTAGTACGCCACTCATATGATGTTCCTGTAGCTTGTTGTGAAGGTCAATGTCCCCTCATCCCGTTCATCTAGCATGCGAAGTCCAGCCTTTAAGGATGCTACCATGGCTTATTCCCAAGTTCAATATCCCGATTTTCTTTCATCTGACAAGCAATCAAACTCCTTGTTTCTTTCATTATAAACGCAAACCACCCTTGTCCTTCAAAATCGTTGCGAAATTTTAGGTTTCCGCCGTCGCCAACATCCTGCATGCAAGAAAACCTCATATCCCGTCAATGCCACCTGCTCCCGCTATCTTACATATCTTACACCCAAAAGTTTTGCAACGCACGTGCAAGCTCACTCCTTCAGCACAATCTCAACATCCAAGACACACTTTCCCTTTCCCCCCTCTTCCCAGGCTGGAGCTTCGTCAACCTGCTCAATCATATGCGCAAAGCAGCCTTGAATTTTGCTGTTCATGAACATCGTCCTCATCTTATCCTTCGGGTCCATCCATGTGAAGGTCGCTGTAATCTTTGCCACGCTCTCCCCACGAATACCCCAGGCGCTAATAACTTTAGTGTAAAAGACTAATGGTGTCATGCATTCGCTCAATTTCAGGGGTAAGTATTCGAGGGAAGGCGCCACTCGAACGATCAATGTAGTGCGGTTCTGTTTGTGTTGAGGCAAGATTGTCGAGGGCGACATGTCCAAGTCCAGACCCTGATCAAGCTGGTGGCGGTTACCTTCCAACAGAATCGATGGCGGATCTGGTCCAGTACCTTTGTCGCTCACAGCTGCGGTTCTCTGCAAAGTCCTTTGATCAAGCTGCTGGCGGTCTTTTCCCAACGGAGATGAAGGCGTATCCGTCCTACCGCCGTTAACAGTCGCGGTTTTTGTGGCCTGCAAAGTCGCTTCTAATCCCTTGAAAGAGGGTCCTGTGGGTCGCAAGCCCCCAGCAGGTTGGCGCTTGCCGTCCCCCCCATTCACGGCTTTGTTCAGGGACCGGGTAATCTTTTGAGGCGAACTGTCTTCCATGAGGGCGATGACCTTCAAGATCATTTGAAGAGTATTTCGACTCACACCTTGGTCTTCACCAGCCCAAGGTGTGAATATTTGATCGAATTTTCGCCCGAGGTCCTTCTCGATCCGAGCTATGGCCCTTTGCTTTCTCTTGTCCTCACGATCATTCACCGGTTTTGTCGATGCCGATGTGGTAGGCTGCGCAGGTTCTGGATGATTTCCTCTGAATGGAACATGGACGTCAGATCGTCGTCGTGCAGGAGGAGAAATGCGATTCAGTCGGTCGATCTCGCGGCTCGAGACCTCAGTTTTCCTTCTTTTTGGAGGGCCGCTCTGGGATGCAGCCGGCTGCTTCAGGGCGTTCGTCTCGCTGGTGCAATGATCGCTGTGATCGGAAGTGTTGTCATCGATCTGCTGCAAGGGGTTTCCGGGTCCTGCATCAGCCGCGCGTTGAGCAAGGCCAGGTATACGTGTACTTTTCGCTTCAGATTCAGATTCGGAGTCGGAAGTATCCGACGAATCTGACGACTCTGACGAATCGAAAGAGTCCGGGGGGATGCTTCGTTTGCGATTGACTGGAGCGAAACTTGAACTGGCGGGTAGGGTGCCATCGCTCCTCGTAGAAATTGTAGTACCCGAGTGATAAGGCGATATGAAAGACAGTGCGAGCGGTTTTTGCTCAAAGTCTTTGCCTGGACCAGCCCAGTAGAGATACCGCATGCCCCCTTGTGCTTGTCCGTTGAACGGCTTTACAATGTACCTGGTATGGTTTAGATCAAGGGTCCAGAACATGAACTCTTTATCCCAGGGCTAAAGATGATTCCCGAGTCAGCATGCCCTTACCAGAACTCAAAGTCGAGTCGTGAGACAAGTTCATGGAGCACGGTGGGGGTAACAAGTCTTCCCCACTCTCAAGAGATATACCGAGTGGGAAGAACCCACACTTAAAAGCACATACCTTGGCTACAATCCTGACTTTGATCGCCTTTTCATCCTTGGGTCTCAATCCATTCTTGGTTGGGATCACGACGCTTTTGATCACCTCAGAACGCTTATTCAGCACAAAAGGCGGCGTCCGGCCGCTGCGGTAGAACGCTCGCGCCTCAGGTAAGAGATGGATTGGATGATCGTCAGGCAGTGCGTCAGAGTTCACTGCCGGATCACTGCGCTCGGGGTCATCAGACTCAACGAATGATTGATTCTGATCGTGAGATGTCACGGTCGGAGAAAGGATAGAAGCCATTGACTTGAACATTACCGAGCGTTTCGTTGGGCAAAAGTTGAATGGAAGGTAGGAGGCGTGTCGCGTGTCGCGTGAGCGAAAGGCCTGGGGACGCGACTTATCACGATTCGGGCTCGAGTCTCGGAAAGAAAGACTGTGCCTTCTGTGAATTCAAGCTGGTGTTCGGTGCAACTGTGGGCCAGATCCCAGGTGCTTTGTCGATGGTTAGGATCAACGGTTGCTGAGATACCAATGCTCAAAGTTGGTACGATTCAATGTTCGAAGCCTGCCTCCAGGAGTCCAGTCGTCAGCTCGGGCCGGACTCAGTCCAGCTTAGGTAGTCCTAATGCCTTGGCGCAAAGACTAGCCTTACCAGTCTCCAGTGTATCCTTCGACTGAATCCTTCGCGAGTTATGTACCTATATATTTGCTTGCCTAATAGCTATAGACTCAATTCTCTAGTCATCTGTGACAAAAGTGATGTCGGAGGGGAGATTTGCAATCGCGGGCCTGCGTCAGCCTCAGCCTAATAAAACTACGGCAAGCTGTGCATACCAACATGGTGAACTGGTTGAGCCGGTGCTACAAATTCTTCTGACATAGCAACCCTGTACCCTAAAGAATCGGCATGATATCTGTGGAGAGACAATCTGGATACAAGCTTGCCGTGGCCCTGTACCTTTGATCCTGCAATAGGTTCGCAAAGTAAGGTACCATAGCTGACGCCCGGGGCCAACACGGCCTTGGAATACTCCCAATCGATGCGACAACCTCGTATTGCAGTGCCGACACTCGGCTGGACCTTGCATTGGATTCTGAACGAGTGACAAAGTATCGAGGCTTCCTTGCAGACAATGGTCGACCTTAAGTCGCGTTGTTAGTGTGCCAATGGTGGTTCAAGCTGGTCAAATACGGCCTCGATAGCCACGCAAAATCCCTTGTTGCGTGTCTCCAGACTCTACTCGGATTCACACCCTGTATCTAATACAATCTACTGGGATATGCAATCCCCCAAATCTGACCTTTATACTTTATCGTTCTATAACAATATAGTTAAAACCCACAAAAAAAGCCAGAGCGTAGAATACAGTTTGTTAACCTTCAAGAATTGTCAATGTCAAAGTCGTGCTGATAACGCTTTCAAATGACTTACTGTTCTGTTCATCAAATATCAAGCCTACAGGCGCTGGCAAACCACCCAACACTACCACCATCTAAGACTCGAGCGTCACTGCGAGGAACCCACCGTCGACACCACCCGTTTCCGTGGCGGCCTGAACCATTTATATAACGTGCTCGCTTACGAAGGCGACAGTACTCTCGAAGACGTTCTAGTTCCTCGATTCTCAAGACTAGGTCAAAGCACCTTCCACACATGCGAGCCTCGAAATTGCCAAACGATCTTGGGCACCGCACGGGAGAGGTTCTGAGGTTGGCCCCGAGCGGAAAGGAGACTTTGGGCCGTTCTCCAGGCGCGGTATGCTCTGCACCGATGATGGCGCGGTATGGAAACATGCGAGAGGCTTGGTCAAGCCATCGTTTGCAAGGAGCCAGCTGAGTGGTTTTGAGGTCAGGTCTTAGACCATATCTTGATGGTGCGTTTCGATCCCGCCTCGTCTATCCTGAAAACCGCGGGATATCTCATCTTGCTGACAAATCCCGTAGAAAGATATCAGAATCGTTATTACAATTCTGTTGTGAGCTGGGAAGAGGAAAAGGAATGAGACCGAGGTAAGAGATGCGGTTTCTGTTCTGGGCTAAATGAAGAGGGCATGGCTACGAAGGTAAGGAGTATATGTATACCCCTCTCTCGTGGCTCATGAGTACTAAAAGTACAGGGCGGTAAAAGCAAATGTTTTGATGCGGAGTTACAAATACAAAAGAATCCAATACACATATTCATCCCACGCCTCGTCTCCGCAAATGACGATTCCACTAACAGCCACAGTAACTGGTCGTGAAATTAACCCCATAAGCCGCAGTGTTGCCTACGAAATTGTACAGCCCGCCCTCGGAGTCCTTATTCGGACCCGCGCATGCCGTTACCAAATCACCCAGAGCGCCTTCACATGCCGCCGGCGTTGCATTGTCGGCCTCGTCGAATTGCGCCGACCAGTAGATCGACATCTGCTGGCCCTGTTCATTCACCAGGGGTCCCCCAGAGTTGGTAGTGGTCTGATTCCAACTCTGGCCCTGGCTGTAGGCGCTGCTGTTGTAGTTGAAGTGGGCGCAGGCAACGCTGATGTTACTTGCGGTGGCGGTGTACCAAGTGCCCTGTCCGTTGCAAGTGATGCCGTTGCCTGTTGCTTGATCCTGGCCGTAACATTTACCATCATCGCCGATCTGGCAATTTCC